CTTCTATATTTGCAGAAAAAGATGCAGCGTGCCATTTTGAAGGTGGAAGGTTGGGCAAATAAATGGGGATTTAAAATGTCAGTTATAAAGTCTCAAGTTATTTGTTTTTATAGAAGACATAAAGAAGTTAATTTAAATCTGTATAATCAGAAGCTTGAACAAGTGAATAAAGTGAGGCTTTTAGGTATCATCAACTTGGAAACAACAAATAGAATCTGTTCAAAATAAATGTAAAAAAGTGAATAATTTGTTAACATGTCTTTCTGGACAGGAATGGGGAACTTCAAGAAGTGCGCTGTTGGGAGTTTATCAGGCTCTCATGAGATCATCCTTGGATTATGGGTGCATAGCATATATGGCAGCTGCTAACAGTCATTTAAAAAAAACTTGATAGTGAACAAATACAAGGGTTACGAATATGTTGTGGAGCTTTCAGATCATCTCCTTTAGCTGCTTTACAAGTTGAAACTGGTTCCTTTAAGATTAAAAGATTGAAACTAATGTAAATGTATTGGGTAAACCTACAGGGCCATAATTATAATCATCCAACTAAGGCTGAGCTACAGGACTGCTGGGAACATCATAAATCTGATTATAAAATCTTTGGATGGATTGGAGACATAAAAGCTCCAAATCTTGGTTTGACTCAGTTTCAGTTTTGATTTACAGTTCCACAGTCTCTAATTCCACCATGGTTATTCATCGCACCTGAAGTTGATCTGCAATTGGGGGAATTTATTAAAATGAGAAAGACTCCAGAATGGCTTGTAGTTAATAATTATTTTGGAAGATTTAAAGATAGTGTAATTATATTTACAGACAGTTCTAAAGATCCAAATAGTGGCAGAACAGGAGCAGCTGTGAATATCCCACACCATAAAGTCAAGAAGAGAGAACAACAGATAATCCAGCAGTTTTTACAGTTGAATTAATTATGATAGCTTTAGAATGGTTGCTTGATGAAAATGTTAAAGAAGGAAATAAATATATTATTGCATCAGATAGTCAAGCTGCATTATTAAGTATCAAATCTGGCAAGTCTTATAGATTAGATTTGTTATTAGATATATATAAACTATTATTTCAGCTTCATAAAAAGAATAATTTTGTTCGATTTGTCTGGATTCCTGCTCATGTAGGGATTGAAGGAAATGAAGAAGTAGATATATTGGCTAAACAGGCCTTAAAATCAGATATTAACTTAAATATTCCTTTAAAGGAGAATTCCGGTTTTTAACACTTTTAGCCCATTTTCTGTAGTGTCCAGGATGAAATCGA